TAGATTGTATTATGACAGCTGTCATATCAGTGTGCATTTAAGAAAACTTATCAAAATTGGTGAATTTTTGTGTAGCCATTTTAATATTGAAGATGGAAGAAAATATGCAACATTTTCAGATTATGCTTTATTATTTCAAGAAGGGTAAAAACACAACTGAAACACACACAAAAATTTGTGCACTGTATGGAGAAGGTGTTGTGACTGATCAAACGTGTCAAAAGTGGTTTGCGAAGTTTCATGCTGGGGATTTCTCACTGGATGATGCTCCACTGTCAGGTAGACTAGTTGAAGTTGATAGAGATCAAATCAAGACATTAACTGAAAACAATCAATGTAATACCATGCAGAAGATCCCAACATACTCAAAATATCCAAATCAATGAAGTTATTGGTGAAAATAAAAATGTATGTTTTATTTTATGGAAAAAACCATATGACTTATTGGCCAACCCAATATCTCATATAGATTTCATGCTGTAATTTTAATCCTGTATGCTCTTATGTCAGGTGTTGCTAACACCTGAATTTTGTTCAAGAATCATGCTCTATAAAACAAGAGATCTTGGATATTGCCATATTATATTGATTTGTTGAGGAAAAATATGAACAATAATAATAATGACCATGTGGAAAAGATATCTGTGGGTAATCTGAAGATAATATACTCAAGAGACTGGAAATGCTTTGTTCTGTAGACAGCAATAGTTACTGCATATCTTGAAAATGTGAATTTATTCCACTCCAAAGACTTTTTGCTGGTGGAAATTTGGGCAAAAATGTGAATAAGACTAATAATCTCTATGCAGGGCCAAGTAGGCAAAAGTGACCCACATCTTTCTTACAGCAATAACTAAATTGCCACAGATGGCTTTTTAAAAATCAATTATCCAGAAGCAAATAGTTGGAGCCAGACAATAGGAAAGCACTAACTGGTGCTTTTACTCCTTCAGGTGCTTGTTATACATTGCAGTGACCATGCCCTGCATTTACTGGAACGTTATCATCCAGTTTGAGTTGAGACAACTTCTACTTGTTAGACTAGGGGTTTTAAAGATGTCTGCAAAATAATCTAATGAACAAAAATGTGGCTGCATGTAAAAACAAGAGTACAAGTGAATCTTAAAAAAAGTAAATAAATCTTTAAAAAAATCAGGCTCTCCATATTTGATATTAAGACTACATGAGATAGAATTTATATTTTTTCTTGTTAATAATGGCCCTTGACCTGTGTGTATGTTGTGCCTGAAGACAGCATGAAGGCTACATAGTATTCCATTGTATGTAATATACCACCTCTTTTTGCCATTCAGCTGTTGATGAACATTTGTGTTGCTTCCATCTCTTGGCTATTGTGAATAGTGCTGCTATGAACAAGGGTGTGCAAATATCTCTTGGAGACCCTGCTATCATTTCTTTTGGATATATACTCAGAAATGGGATTGCTGGATTATATATAAATAGGACTAGTTTTAATTTTTTTGAGGAAATGTCATACTGTTTTCCATAGTGGTCAAAACATTTTACAATCCTACCAATCACTTTTAGAGGTTCAACAGTCATATACATAATAAGATTGTCTTAGGTACAATAGAGCCCAGTATACTTCAGTTATGTCAATCAGGAGTGTTTAAAATGATAACTGTTCTAGAACATTGACCATACTTTCATTATGTGTTTTAAAAATGGAAACATATAACCCTGACTGGTGTGGCTCAGTTGGTTGGGCGTCAACACAAAAAGCAAAAGGTTGCCAGTTCAATTCCCTGCCGGGGCACACGCCTGGGTTGCAGGTTTGGTCCTCGGTTTGGGCATGAGAGACAACCCATGTTTCTCTTTCTCTCTTCCCCTCTCGCTAAAAATAAATAAATAAAATATTTTTTAAAAAATGGAAACATGTAATTCACAGGCCTTATTTATAGATACTTTCAGTGTCACTAGACTTGTGTTTTGATTTATATTTTGGTTTCTGTTTAGAAATATCTGGCTATAATATTTTTAGACTATTTTAATAGCCCTTTCTTTGTGTTAATTTTGAATGAAGTATTTCAGATCTACAGCAAATAATCTAAGTACAAATACTTATAATCCAGTTTGAACAAAACCATATTTTTACCATATTTCTTTATATCTGTCACCAGGAGTAGTGTAGGAAAAAGAAAAAAAAATCCCAACCAATATTTCCACTCCAACTGACCACAAAAGTAAGCATAAATGCATGACATCAGAGAAAAAGTTAGGAAGTAAATGAATTCATATTTGGCTACCTATTACTCTTCCTACAATTTGAAAAGAACATAGCCCAATAGTTAAAATCATGGGCTCTGAAGTCACACAGTCTCAGTTCAAGTCCTAGTTTTGCGTCTTGCTAGTTTTGTGGCCTCGAGCAAGTTCTTAATCTATCCCTGCCTCAGTTTCCTGCTCTGTAAAATAGAGATAATCATAATACTCCCCAAGGTATTTGCAAGAGTTAAGAGAAAAACATGAGCTCTGTGTATTTACTACATATGGCCAGTGACACATAACAAAACTTCAGTAAATATTAGTAATTATTTATTTTGTTTACTGAGCACTTACTATATGCCAACCATTCTAGTGCTGGCTGAGAATTCAGCAGTGAACAAGAGAGACAAAGACCCCCATGGAGCTTACTTTCTAGTGACGAATGAGAAAAGCAATTTCAGATAGTGGTGGGGACTGTGAAGAAAAGATAAGGTATGGGAAGGGGGTGTGAGAGGTCTTTTAGGCAGGAAGCAGGACCATGGGAGGCCTGTATGAAGCCTTCAGAAGTGAAATTTAATGGAGAGTAGCAGAAGAAACCAGTCATTTGGAAGTTTGGGCAACTGTTCAAGATGGAGAGGGAATAGTACATGCTTAGGTCCTGAGGCAAGAAAGCTTGGTTTGTACAAGAAGAACGACCAAAAAAAAAGAAAAGAAAAAGAAAAAAAGGCTAGAGCTCAGTACCTCAGAGGAAAGAAAGTTGGACCTGACATCAGAGTTAGGAAGGGCAGGCCAATTAGGGACTTCTGGAGCACAGCAGAAAGCTTGTACTTTATTCTCAAAGGACTGTGAAGACATTGCAGGGTTTTTATTGCTACTAGGTACAGCACTCTGCTCCGTGGAGGAGTTTGTGTGCCTTCCTGTGGTTCTGTTTTAGCATTAAGAGTACGCGTATGCTGTAGGGGTAACTGCTGAGGATACCACATTGGTTACACATGGGCACCCCCTGGTGGAGTTGGTGGCTCAGCTTGCGTGGTTTCAGATCAGCAATAGCAAGGTTCATGACCAATTTATCCTTTGATTCAACAAATATTTATTGGGTGCCTACAACGTGTCAGGCTTTGTTCTGGTGCTGAAATATATCCATGAACAAAACAAACATGTGTGCCCTCATGGAGCTTACATTCTGGTATGTGTGGGTATGGGGAGAGAGACATTTAAAAAAATCACTAGCAAATTGTTGGATGGAGTATATGTTGTAACAGAAAAATTAAGAGCGGAATTGGATTAAAATGTGCAGGGAGGATGGTGGTACTTCAATTTTAAATATAGTATCTGGGGGAAAATAGAGTGTCAGGGAAGGTCTTATTGAGAGGGAGACATCTGAACAAAGAGGTAAAGGAGGTGACAGGGTGAATGATGTTATTTTCTGGGGGAGTAGCATTCTAGGTGGAGGGATTAGCAAACACAAAGACCCTGAGTCTATGTTCATGTTTGAGGAACAGCAAACAAGACGAATGGGCCTTAAGTAGAGGGAGAGAGGAGATGAGGTCAGCTGTGCTGGGGAGGGGGTGGTGTCGAATGTTGAGGATCCTGTAGGCATTGTAAGAATTCTGGTTTTCACTTTGAAATAGGGACCCACTGGAGGAGCAACATGATCTGATCACCATTTTAACTGAAGCCCACTGCTGCTCTGTTAATCAATTGTGGGAGATCAAGGGTGTGAAAAGGCAAACAGTTACACATTTACTGAGGTGGTAAATGATCTGATTCTGGACAGATTTTGAAGTCAGGTCCTGTGATCTTGCTGATAAATGTGGGGTGAGAAAGAGGAGTCAAAAATCTTAGTACATAAGTGGTATCGGTAAATTGACAGAGGAAGAGGTGATCCAAGACGACAGCCACAAAATTTACCAAAAAAAAAAAAAGAAAAAAAAGGTATTTTAGAAGTATATCAAGCAGTTAATTAGTAGTGGGTGATTTTTCTGTATTTGGTGTTAGTGAAAATTTTAAAAAAATTAAAGATTTTATTTATTTATTTTTAGACAGAGGAGAAGGTCGGGAGAAAGAGGGAGAGAAACATCAATGTGTGGTTGCCTCTCCTGTGTCCCCTAGTGGGGACCTGGCCCACAACACAGGCATGTGCCCTGACCAGGAATCGAATCGACGACCCTTTGGTTCGTAGGCCAGTCCTCAATCCACTGAGCCACACCAGCCAGAGCAACTTAAACATGTTTGAATTTTGAATTTTCTTAAAGAGAGCCCCCAAATTGAATAAATTTCAGGCCTCCACCAAACCCTGAATTCAACTCATTTAAAGTTAACGAGGAATTTAAAGTAATTCAAAGTTAACGAAAAATTTAAAATTTTTGTTTATGATAAAGTAATTCCATAAAATAATGTGCATGAAACATAAGTTAACTGTAAGCTCAATACAATATTAGTTATAAACTAATATTAGGGCTTAAAAACATCGCCTTGGACTAGCTCCCTTCCCCCCAGTGTCTTCCAAAATTTCCCACCCATTCTTCCACAGTTTTTCTAAATCCAACAACGGCATTTCTCCTTCTGTTCGCTTTAGGGAAGCACGAACAGAAAAGACCTACAAAAATAAGAGCAGACTCCGAGGGAGGCGTAACCAGGGGCGGGGCTCTCCGAAGTGGAGAAATAGGCGGGGCCCCCCGCCCCGCAAGTCCTGACACATGCGCCCAGAGGCTTCTGGTGGAACTAAGTGTGGATTGTGAGGTGACCCTGGACGGTGACTTCCGGTTTCTAGGGATGCGCATCCGGGTCACGCTAACGCCGCGGTTTCCTCCACCCGCTTGGTTCTGCTGTGGGTCTGGACCGGCCCCTATGTCCGACTGTGGGGCCTCTGCAGCTTTCGGGTGAGTCTGTGCTGCCGACAGGGTGTGAGTGAGGCCGGACGAGTACCGCCTGTTGGGAAACGGGTCAAGAGTTATGTCCTGGTCCCTGTGGGTGTGGGTTCTCTTTGCCTGTCCCTTGTCCCTGCTGTGCTTCCCTCACTTCAGCCCTTTGCCTCACGGTGGCCTCGCCTAGTTCACCTCAACTTAGCCTTTCTCGCTTCGCTCACCTTTCGCTTCGCAGTTTTTCCTCAACCTCACCCGCTTCACACAAGACCCGGCTTCTTGCGTGTGTGTGTGTGTGTGTGTGTGTGTGTGTGTGTGTGTGTTGCCTCAGCGCTTCCGTCCGCCACTGCCTTTTGATTTTCCCCTTACTCGCACGTTAGCACCTCTTCCACTACCCCTGATCCCTGGATCTCGCATTTCTTTTACCCAGCTGGACGGCCCGTCCCCTCATTGTGGTCATCCCCCGCAGTGAAACAGGGTCCTAGATACTTGTCCTCGAACTTTCCTCACTTTTGACCCCTCCCCGGACTAGTAGGTGACATCTGTGCTTCGCCTGGGGTTCTCCCGCCTTTTCTTAGCTCGCGGAGGGCTGTGCTAAACGCCCAGTCTGGGCAGATTTACCCGGCCAGGGGGAGGTTTTGCCTAGAGGCGCTTGGTTAGACTGAACTCTGGTAGCTTCCGTAGTTAGGGAACAACAAAGGCGTTCGCTGGAGCACAGTTTTGGGGGCTCTCTCTAGAACAGGATGGCAGGTGGCAGGCGCGTGTAAACTACTTGGCCAAGCGATTGGACTTAAGTGATCTTGTTAATTGACAGCTCATGAGGGAGTCTTGTCATTTTGGTGTTCTCTCTTTCATGAGAATGGAGACGTGCGTCCCTAAGGCAAAAATGCGATGTTGTGGGATAATCAGTTGTTTTCTGCTTGTGCTTAACTTACGGACAGTTGCTATGACAGAGGACAGAGTTTCTTGAGAGATTATTAACCCTCAAATTTTTAAGTGTATTGCCAAAAACCTTAGTGTAGGGGGAATGGAAACGTTTTCTGCTATAGAGTTCACTATAGTAATTTCAAAGTACATTTTCTTTCGTTGAATTCAGGGTGCATATATATCTTTATCTTTGCCTCTTACACGTTGTTTCTTCGTTTTTATTGTGTTGACAATTTTCTGCTTTTCTTCTGGTTTCTTCATAAGCCAGACATTAGAGTACTTTATTTCTTAGAACATCCTTCTTTTATTTTTTTTACTTTTTCCACCTTAGTCTTAAAACCATGTTTTTCTCATTTTTAAACTTTAATTTATTAAATTTCTCTGGAGGCTTTTAGTCATCTCTAAAATGAAGGAATTGGTTTTAATAATGGGTAGTGTCCTGTTTCCCAAATTTTGTGATCTGAGGTATATTTTGAGATACAGGGTTGGACAATTTTTATTTTTGTTTTTCCGATTTTTATGGTGTGTCTAGCATTTGATTGCAAATGCTTTTGTGTGATCAGTTTCTATAATTATATAAGTTGTGCTCTAAAATTTAGTACTTCAGCAAACAGAATAAATAGAGCTTTTAGCATCTGCTTTTCTTTAATGATGTATAGAAAAGTCTCCTTCATTACATGATACATATACATATGTGAACATAGCATAGACCTTGACTTATTCCAAAATTGGGCTGGTCCCTTCATCTATTTTTAGCAAAGGACTTTGGAACTTAGCCATATGAGTCCTAGAAGCCACAGAGAAGGACCCTTCTTGTTGGCTTTCAGGACCTATCTAACTGCTGAGGGAAGCCCCTTTAAAAGCTCCTGACCAGTACCTTCTCCCCAGCATCTACACTGGAAACTCGAGCTTCTGTTCAACGTGGCCTCAGCATTTCCCATCTTTAAGAACTAACCCCAGTGGACATGTTCTGACTCTGTTTGACTGCCTCTTTACCTCTAGGTCCGTGGACATTTTTTTTTTCTTTTAGCATGGGCACTCCATAGATAGATGTGAATTTGGTTTTATGCTAAACCCTCTTTCAACCTTTTTATTTAGAAAAAAAAATTGTTTGTTTGTTTCTTTGTTTATTAGGGAGAAGGGAAGGGAGGGAAAAAGAGAGGGCAAGAAACATTGATGTGTAAGAGAAAAATCCATCGGTTGCCTCTCCCATGCCCCCAGCTGGGGGCCTGGCCTGCAACCCAGGCATGTGCCCTGACCTGGAGTTGAACTGGCAATCCTTCAGTTTGCGGGATGATGACCAAACCACTGAGCCACACCAGTCAGGGCTCAACCTTTTTCATTTCTGAACTTTTTTATTTTTTGAGCATTTCTAAGCCTAACCCTAGATAGATTTCTTTGAGTTTACAACTGGAGGAAATCATGGAGTTCAAAATTACTGCTTCATTTTACAAATAAGGAAATCAGGGCTTAAAGGATTGGTGATGATTTATCCAAATTCATTCATATATATATATCTTATTAATTTATATATATAATTATATACATATATATACACATAATATATATACACACACACACACATGCACACAAATGAAGAAGTCCTGTATATGGACACAGAGAAGTAGGTTTTAGTTCCATCAAAGCTGTAGGCTGGTGAGCACAATCTAGTATTTAGTGCTTTATTTCAATACATTTATGTCATTGGAATTAAAGTTTTAGGGTAATACATCTATGATAGATTTTTAAATTCAAAGCTGAAGTCATTTTGCCTTCAAAGAAGGACTCTGGAAAGAAACTTGTGCAGAAGAAGTTGGAAGCCTTAGGGAGTTTTCTAAAATCACTTCTGCCTATTGTGGTATAAAATTCTGCGTGAAAGCCCTTACACGAAATGAACATCCTATAGTCTCATTGGAACAGTTGTGTTCATACTCCTGATCTTCATACAAAACGCTGTTAAACTTTCTAATTACTGAAAAGCCTTCACCTGTTACAAAAGCTGCCAAACAAAAACAAAAAAAATTACTGTAGACATGTTAGTGTGTACAATAAGTCCTCACTTAATGCCATTGGTAGGTTCTGTGACTTTAAGTGAAACAACGTATAATGAGACCAATTTTACCATAGACTACTTGATATAAACAAGAGTTAAGTTCCTGTGCATCTCAACAGTGTTAGAACAGTACGATGTTATTTGAGGACCAGCTGTATGTTTTTAAAGTTCAGGAGAAGACTTACTGTTGGTTTTCTATAGAAATTTCTATTTTAGTTTGGCAAAATCTTAGTTTATAACCCTGAGAGTTCAGTTTAAAATATATTTTTGCATATCTTATGCCTACCAGTTTTCTTGTTTTGGTTTATTTTTTATTGTTATCTTTTGCCATTTTACTTTCTTCTGTATTTTGTTTTACGTGTTTTGATTTTTATCCTTGAGTTTAGGATCTGTTTTAAAAGGAAAATGCAGTTTTAAAAGTTTAAGAAACAAATTATACCTCCTCCATGTGCTTACCATTTGTACCTTGTGGTATGAGTTTCTGTGATCTGTCTAAGCTACTACATGGCTCCATTCTATTTGTTTTGCTTACAGATAAAGGCTCATAGAACTTCTTTATTTGGTAGATTGTCTGAAAGATTTTTGTGTTCTGCATGTGAAAACAGGATATTTTAATTTATGTATGATTTAAATGGAGGAAGAATTATTCAAATTAGTTCAACACAGAAATATTTTGAAATGTATTTAAGAATATTAGGAATAGTTTATTCTTCCCATATATTCACTTAATTGGTTTATACCAAGAGATTGAACTGTTATATTTATAGTAAAATGGCAATTAGGTGGGCTTCTATCTGCTGATTAACTTAAAAATACAATGCACATTCTTGTACAGAATATATGGCTTACGCTGTAAATGGACTTTTTGACATGTTTTATTGGCAGAGAACATAACATAGGAAACAATGGAACAGCAGCCACATCGTCATGTTGATATTTTTATTTAGTCCCATAAACCTAAGCCCTGGAGTATCTAATTATTAAATATAGAAATAGGGTATTTTCTCTGTTACTTATACTAAAAAATAGATATTTGAAATACAGTCTTCATAAAATTGATCTTCACTATGTTGCCCTTTTAAATATGTAGCAGTATTTTAAATCAGAAAAGAAAACCTGTCAATAATGCTGATTTACTGTAAGTCAACAGATTAACCCAAGCCAGTCAGTACTTAATATCTCAAAGATGTTACTACAGATTGTGATGGATGCACTTTAACTTGTTAGCTTGGGTGATATTTGTACTGCTTAGATTTTTTTTTATTCACCCTAGAAAGTAGCATAATTTCTGTAATATGTTTCTTTCAGCGTATTTCTTTTGGATACCTACTATGTACCATTATAATAATACATAAATAGATTATTCACATGAAGTAGGTGACATCAGTGTAAATTAGTGTAAATCATTTAATTCAGATGAATACAAATAAAGCCAAATTCAGTATATAAGTGTAAATGCCAGTCCTGCATCTCCAGGGTGAAGCAAAAAAAGAGACAACATAATTAGAATTTAAAAAGGTTTAACTTTAAGAAAGTGTTGCTTCTTATGAGTGACAGTGGTATGTGATATTTTTCAGCTAGATTTTATGATTTTCTATTTTCAGAATACTCAATGATTTCTCATGATTATTTGAGTTTAAGGTTCTTGTGTTATTCTGCATCACAGCTTAATATAAAATCATGTTCTTTATAGGTACAATTAAATAATTTTCATTTAGGAAACTTTTTCACAACTGAGCTGTAAAAATCTGTAATGGTAAACAGTAAAAATAAAAGCCAACTTTACATAGCACTTACTATGTGCCAGAAACTGCTCTAAGTTGTTTATGTATATTGACTTTTTAATCCTTACGAGCCTATAAATTAAGTACCGTTCTTATCTTCATTTTACAAATGAGAAAACGAGGGGACAAAAGTTATATAACTTGCCTAAAGTAACAAAGCTAGTTAGCAGGAGAGCTGGATTTTGAATTAGTCTGTCTCCAGAGTTCATGACCTTTTTGTACCGAGTTCTACTAATTTAGTGATTCTTCCTTTT